GTCTGTCCTGTTCACGTTTCACATGCACTTCCACATCGTTTCCACTTGTGTTCGCTGGCTTGTGTTTCACGACCAGACCAATGAAGCGAAACAGCCTCTGGCTCGGCTTCAACCCACCCACTCCTTGCAAATTACAAGCAAATCTCTATGGCGGCTTGTTTGCTGGCAGCCCATTGCTTTTACCATCTGGAAGCGTGTCGATTGAAAATTTCAGGTGGGTGGAATCCAGGACTTTGTGTACATTTGTCACAGATGCAGCATATGATTTTGAAAGAAAGTGTTAAAAGCTGAAGAGGCGGCACAAGAAATTGAAAAAGACGGATGAAATTCAAGACTGGGTAAGCACCTGGCAGAAGACCTTTAATTTAGATCAGTGCATCAGTGTTAATTCAAGGTATCAAAAACATAACCTAGCCAATACCCTGTCTGTCTTCAAGAAACAGCTACATGAGATCCCGGACTTGACCTGACCTGCGTATATTCCTAACCTGGCCTGGGTGCATTTAAATTAACGGACACTCCTATGTGACATTTCCGAAATAACTGAAAGGCAGGAATAACATTGTGCCACGTGTGGAAATATTTTGTACAGTTCTAATACCAGTGGTCACTTCTAAAGCCTCATTCTTGCTAAAAGAGGGTGACCAGAGCTCTACTCAAGACTATATAACATCCTGAAAAACTGTTTCGATTCAGAACATTTAGGATACCCTTCCTGTATATCTTCTTTGGTGTTTTTAAGACCTTGCGCTGTGACTTCTTGCATTTCTAAACCTTGGTCAATTAGCTAGTGACTAGCAAAAGGGCTCTCATTTGTAAAACAACATCAGTAAGCAGCTGTTAAGGAGACCCAAACAGTATCTCTGCATCAAATGTATTGCAAAGACAACTAATATTTATTATGCATCAATAACTTGTATTTTTTTTTCCTTTAGTGGACATCGGAAGCCTGTGAAAGCCTAGAAGCCACAAACTCTGGTCAACCACAAGGCCCAGCTGGCCCCACGGAGAACGCCACTTCTTCAGAAAGAGAGGAGAAGAGCGCAGAAGAATCTGCCCCAGTTTTCCAAGAAGTGCCAGAGCATCACCCCTCTCAGAGATGTTGACACCTGCTCCAAAACTCAGCATGTTCTGCAAGAAGATCATATTGTTGGAGCAGAAGCTGGGAACCTTTAACCAAGCAACACAATAAATGTTCGTGAAAACGATACCCCACAAAACTAGAAAAAAGACATGGAATGTAATATACTATCTAGTACACAACTGACATGGCATTGACAAGTTGCTGTACATCTGGCAAGTACTGCAATAGAATTAAAAAAAAAAGATAATTCCAGTAAGATTTTGAGAGCATTCAATAAAGCTGGGGTCTGGCTGTTAAAACTGGATGTTAAAAGTCCTCTGCATGTCCAGGGATTGGGATTGTCTGATTGGCATGATGTTTGACCACTGATGTCATGGGTCTCCATGCCTGAACCTGGAGTTTCTAAAGACCCTGAACAGCTTGACTGTCATCAGTTAAACAGCTAATGTGTTTATATACAGTATATATATACATGTTGTAAATGTCTTTTGATACAGCTATCAGAATAAGTCATAAGGACCAGAATTACTTTAAGCGAACTAATTACTTGCTTAGTTATTAGTGACTTTTAAAATGTTCATAATCTTTAAAAGACAGGGCGGTGAGGATGACCTATAGGACTATACAGACTGGGGCTTTCCGGGAGCAGGCATGGAGACAATTGCTTTACAGTAACGGTCAGCTAACCTCTGACCAAAGAGCGACTCATTGTATGACATGTCTTCTTTAGCCTTCAACGCTAAATCCACCCCAGGATTGTTTGAGGATTTCTGGTGCTTGAAATATGGATGTTACCTATTAAATTATGTTTGCACACAGCTTTATGAATTGTCATATGTTGATTGGCTATGTTTCCTGGGAGCTCATCTGCAACACGTAAAATAAAAAAAGGTGAAAAGGTGAACATTCTCAGGCAGCCATATGACTGAGCTGAAGCTTTACATACATGAGGTTTGCTACTGAGATGCAGAGTTCAGTTCAGGATTTGACAGTAACTCTGCTCATTTTTTTATATTTATGAAATAATCCAAAGAAGAAAGAAACCACAACGTTTCGGCCGTGGAGCACACCTGAAGACACCTGAAGAAGGCTCCACGGCCGAAACGTTGTGTTTTCTTCTCTTTTCAGCATGGAATAAACCTATTACCTGTTCCTTTGCAGCCTACGCATGCTGACGCAGCTGCCCACCTGAACTATCCAAAGTAGGGCTGTGTAAAGAGCCGGGGCGTTTTTCAATTAACATGCATCTCTGTTGAAACCATTCTCCTTGAAAGACTTGGTATCCAAAAAAAAATCAACTTTTCTTCTCCTACTTCTAATCCAGCAATTCCCAAACCTGGTCCTGGAGGAACAATCCTCTGGTTCTTAATCACAGGCCAAATATTATCTGTTAATTAGCTTTCAGCTCTTAAAAAGTCAAGTGAGCCCGTTTCTGAGTTTCAGATCTGCCCTCATTCATGTGTGCTGCCTGCAATGAGCAGGAACTAATTTGACTCTGCAGCAGAAAATAAAAACACTTATTGTCTTAGTGTCTTTCCCACCTGTGTCTGTTCTTTGCCAGTTGATTAACTATAGTAGTATGAAGTGTATATCGGAAACAGCAGCAAGTATACTAGGGAGAGCCTGTGTAAAGTGTGTGCTAAAGTTGCAAAGGAACAAGTAAAGGTTTATTCCATGCTGAAAAGAGAAGAGAACGTTTCGGCTGTGGAGCCTTCTCTGGGTGTGTTGGGTGTGAAGGCTCCACAGCCGAAATGTTGTGTTTGTTCTCTTTTCAGCATGGAATAAACTTTTACTGTTTCTTTGTAGCCCATGCATTGCTGACGCAGCTCCCTGCTTGAACTACATGGGCTAAAGTTGTTGGATACTACCCTTGAAGTTGGGTATGTTCGATATGTAGGACTGACTGAAGAACAATTCCAACAGAAGTCTAAATAGCAAACGGACCAATGAAGTCTTAGCAGAGATTTCCAGAGTGTGTTCCTCCCGGACCAGGGTTTGGAACCACTGTCTCGTGCAGCGTTTTCACTCTCCCCGAACTTGTCAGCCAGTCGGACAGCAGCTTGCCCAGCTCTTGGAATCGGGGGGCCCAGCGTTGACATTTCCATTCCATCCCACTGCAAGTCTTTCCTCCAGCTTATCCTCAATAATCAATAATAATCCTCCTCAATGATCTTCAGCCACTGGGTCAAGTAAGCAATTAAGGATGATTTCAGTAATGAATTCATTGGAATTTAAAGTCCTGTGATAAAATAAAAATGCTGAAGTTGACTTTTCCCGGTATTAATCATGCTAAACAAATCGGGGACCCGTTTCGAGACGAACTTACAGAGGACAGAACAAAGGAAACTATCAAGTAAGTAATTGAGCATTAACACAAAATGATAAACTCAGTAGTTTCAAGCTGTTGGTCTTTTTAGACTTATTGAATCAGTAACGTTTTTTGTCCATTTAATTTTATGAAAGGTAACCACTGTATGATGCATGAAGTGTGGCAAAACATAGAGCACTACTGTTTTGTATGGAGTGAGCACTTGGCTCAATGTCATTTAACTGTGATATTTTCAGCAAATAAATGCAACCAAGTGGGCTTTAAGAGAATTCCCAACCCGTTATAATTGGGGTTCTTTTTTGTTGTAGGTAGACCCCCCCAAACAAAAGATATCATGCTTAAAAAATTGGAGTATGATCACTGAGCGCTGTCAGACTAGTTACATCCGAAGGCATATTAGTCACATACACCAAAGGGGCTCTATGCCAGGACAAAGTGTGAATGAAGAAACACTAGCATCTTGGCTCAGATTTGCTAAAGACTGACCCTTTGTGTTCCTGTAAAACTTGAGAGGTAGTTCAAGTGTTGTCTTCATCTCAGCAGTGACAGCTCCTTGCTGTGGTATTAATACCACAGTGGCAATGTGGAAATATACAACCATCCAAGTGATCTCGGCTCAGATGTTACATACGATCCACATCTCTCTGTTAAATACCCAAATGCACAAAACACTGAATGACACCAGAGACCTGAGAACTGCAAAGTGCATTCACAAAGTCCAGCCCCAACTCTTCATCCGCTGTTTCCTATCAGTAAGGTGCAAGCAGGCTCTGGCACATACAGAGCTGTTATCAAGTCACCTGTCTGGAATTTTTAGTCTGGCGAGGGGATTTAATCTCTGCCCACAGATATATATTTTGAGGAGCAACAGGACATTAAATCTCTTCCCAGATGTCTTTTCATTTAAAAGCATCTAACCAGAAGCAGTTTTATCAAGATACCCAACTTTCCAGAATGCTGGTTTGCTTAACATTGCCATGTCTCTATGTACACTTCTTTCTCCAGCTTTTGTTTCTCATCCTGCTGATGGAGGTTCATGCTGTGTACAGTATCTTACTGTGTCACAGAAACTATGCTCTGTAAACTATGATCATGACATGTTAAGAGTGCTCCTGCAATTAAAAAGAAGAAGACCAAAGCACCTTGTTATTTAATGTATTTAATATATTTACAGTTGTCAAAAATCGCATTGGTTTGATATCATATCCAAGTAATTGAAATACCAGATTAATAATTGTGCTATTCAGCAAACAGTCTCCCAGTTTCATGCAACAAATTATTTCTTTCATAGGTTCTGAATTGGCTCATCAGAATATAATTTCATTAATATAAAGAGGACTAAAGTCATTCAGACAATTTAAAAAATCCCTTGGAAAAGTTGTCCCACTGACATCACAACACTACGGATTATTCTGCCAACAAAGTAACCCCAACTTAGTGAAAAGTAAAGAAAGAATCACTTCTCTAAGGGAGTTGTAAAATTATTGTCTGCAGATTGCAGTACTTTAATACATACTCATACAGTATCGTTTATGATAAATAACTGAATCATTATTTTATTTAGCAAATGCATGCTGAATATAAAATGTCAGTTTGGATGGACAGTTCTATATTGCATCCTTTAAAAATATCCATCCTTTTCAAATTTCGATGTAAAGACTTTCACAAAAAATACAATTTTTGCACTGGCAGCTAAAATCAAGAACACAATTTTGTGAATTTCTCATTTATTTCTGTTCCAGCTGATGACAATATTTAAAAAGGGTGCCATGACTTGAGAAACTCAGACTGTGAGAAAAGGATGTTCTGATAGAAGCCCGGATCAAATCTGAAGCAAATGTGATCAAATCTGCAAATCTGAAAAAAGGAAAATGATAAGCTGAAGGCCACCTCTTATTTAGATGCTCTGTCTAAAGTTTTGTTTTTACTTTACTTTATTTTTTACTTTTATTTTCTGAGGGACCATGTGCTTCAAAAATATCAGCTGAGTATTTTGTGCTTGAAGTTACACCATTGTTTGTGAAACACTAAAGGAAACCAAAAGGACGTGCCTTTAAGACTGAAAAGGCTGGACAAGAAACTTGGATCAATTTGATACTAACTACTAAAAGGACAGAGTGGCTCTTCAAGAGGAGTAACTCCTCTTGTTTGCAAACCTTCTTACAATTCTGAAGTATAAGGAGTTAGTCTAAGCATTCATTGGAAAAAGTAAAAAATATCCACATTGCACTAAATACTGTAGTCAATCACACAAGCTTGAATGTAAAATCAAGTGCCTTTAGCTACCTTTAATTACCTGGTATCACTAAGGTCACAGTATATTTTTCTAACTCTCGGTTAACATTGTAGGACTAACTATATGTTTACAGCATGCCCAGAGGACTATAAGAGCTCAGTAATTATCATTAATGTTGTTTTTCAAAAGAAGAAAAGTTTCTGATATTTATAATTTGTTGCCAGTGTCCATGTTTTTATTTTTGTTGTCTCTTCCTACAGTACCTCTAAATCTGCACATACTGTAGCTGTTCTGAATTATGCCCATCAACACTGTAAACTAAGATGAGATGTTACATAGATGCCCATACATATCTGACTGTTCCACTTGGCAAAACCTCAGAAATAGCAATGAAAATAGATATACTGAGAGGACTATTAAGGCTTCATATTTAGGCAACAATCAGAGTAATGCGTTTGCAATCAATAATGAATTTGTCAGCATTAAGAGTGCAGTCTCCCTAGGTTTGCAGATTGTAAAGAGGTTTATTGAATTTACTCCCTCTGAGCGGTTTGTTTTTGTCAACATGAAACACATTTAAGAGTAGGCAGGGCTGGTGGGAGCAAATAAAGTGCCAACAGGTCAAAGGTCAAAAGCTGCCTGCTCCCATTGTGACACAATGAAGTCAAAAGCTGTATCTGCCAACAGAAGTGTGCCCTAGTGGTTATGTACAGAAGTGTCATGCAAAATGAGCTCACCACTGTTAAGGAACCTCCAGTCACACACACAAGGGATGCCATAACTCCAGATTCAAAGCAACACACTTGCAATCTGAGCAAAGGGCTCTGCCTGCTGAACATCTCTAGAGCCCCGTACTGCAGCCTGGGCAAGGGGCAACACGTACCCGGGTCTGAGAGGGAAAGCATCATGGAACCGAAACTAGAAAGGGTACCCTGTATCCTGGGCTTCTAACCAGGGACAAACTAGCAGAGCTTCCAGAAGTGGGCTCGCAGCAGCAAGTGACCAAAGGTCCTGTCACTGTTTCCAGCCTCGCTTAACACATCTTCACAGCGTATCATGAAATTACAGGACCAAGGAGAGCAGGTTCATGCGAAAGACTTTCATTTTCATTAGCTTTTCAATTCAAAGCCAAATACAACTAAGAGTCACCTCAATGTGCAATAAATACATCACATTTCACTGGACGTTTTTTTCCATAATCTCTACTTATCTGTTCAGTTACATGCAGACTACACACATTACATTTTTCTTGAATAGATCAGTACTCGTTAATAAACATCATGATTGGGCGTGTTACATGCAGATGACTATCAAGTTGTTCCCATATTTGCATGACAGAGGTCATGTCCAGGCACTGAGGCTTCTTGTAATGATGCTTTTCAGACAGAATCTGCTGGTTAATTGACAGTTGCATTAACAACCACCTCTTCAGAGTTCTGCACTTGACAATGTCTTAATAGAATAACGAGGGGGGTTTATGGAGAGCAAAAAGCTGTGCCTTTGTCATTGAAGTCGGGCCTCTGGCAATACCAAGCCAGTCTTACCCAGCTTTGCAAATACACCAAATTCAACCAGCAATCCATAAGGGAAATTCAGCTTCTTACGTGTGCTTTTGAGTGGCCTGAAATGTAATAGTTCCTTAATAAAACCTACAGGAGACAGATGAGCTGTTTTGTTTAAATTCTGCATTTAAAAGGGGCATCTCATTCCTTGTGGCAATAGAATCTTTCTCTTGAAATACTATGAAAAACAAAAGCAATTTGCAAATTATTATAAGATAATTAATTTGGTTAAAGGTATGTTTTATATCCAGTTTCACACTACAGAGTACTGAAGTCTAAGCCAAAATGGGACTGTTCTCAGCACTTGTTACTGTTTTGTATCAAATGTAACCTCAGCCATGGATATGTTTGTATCATTAAATACTCCAGAAAAAAGCAGCTATGCAGTCACATTCTGCTATAGCCACCAAGCTGTTTCAGAGCACTAAATTGAATACAAAGGCAAAAAACAGAGGTAGATGTTTCTGTTTTTACAATTGTAAATTCTGCTAACGCACCCCACATAGCCCTTAAGAAACAATATCCTTTTGAAAGACAACAAGTGCACCACTTTTTCGAGAAAAGAAACATGCATCACTGAACACTGATCATAATTCATCAGGTTTTCTTGCCTGTATTCTAAAAACGACAATATTCATCATCTCCTTGTTTTAAAGAAATTTTCATGGTCCTGAAGAAAGAAACATGAAAGCCAACCATGAACTAAGGAGCCAGTAAACATTACTCATTGGTTTCTCTAAAGATGTGTTTTAAGTTATACGTGAATCAGCTTTCCTAGCAAGAGGAATGTCATAACACAGCAACAATTCAGACAAGACATTAATTTATTAAAAGTTAATCTTTATAAATATCCTTTTACCATCATGAAGGTATTTACTATATATTTATTTTATAAATAAAAATAAGAAACTTTGCTGAATATGATAGAAGAGTATCAGCAAAAAAAACAATGTAAACCTTGTTTTTTTCCACACAGCTTTCAGACCTCTTCAGCGTTTCGTTACAACAGTGAAATATTTGCATAGGCAAAATAAGATTAGCCCTTATACAGTTATTTCCTGAATTCTTTATATATTTAAAATCTATTTCAGCTGAAAACAATTAAACAAAAATAATCCAGCTACTTTTTGTGAACTCTTAATACGTTTTTTTTTTCCTATGCACATTACGCTTACAGTGTTAGGCTTCAAGTAAATGTCTAAATATCAATTGCACATCAACAACTAAACGTGAAACAAAATATGTTATGAGAGGTAGTGGCAAATCCTAACGAGACTTTCCAAGAAGAAACACCATGAATAAGGCTAGTGTTTTTAAAATAAATATAATACATTAGATCTATATGAAACTACTACATTAACAACCTGCTCTGGCCATTTTCAATATCTGGTTACATGGCAGTATTCCTACAAACTTGATGCTGAGCAACATCTGACTACCCATTGGCATTTTTCTTCGTTTTGACTAGTTTCTTTTCCGGATTGTTCTTGAAAAGACGAGTACAAAGAACACAGGTAAAACCAAAATCAAGGCATCTCCCATCACCTTGCCACTTTAAAAGCAGTGATTGCACCAGCAGTACAAAATGCTCAGTACTATAAAACCCCGCAGTGGCGGACTGCTTTTCTGCACAGACATAAAAAAAAGCTGCACTTTACAAACAGTCCTCCCTCTCCCTTCACCTCCATCAGTTTCAAGATTCTTCCTTATCGCATTTGTAGCTGAGTGCATTTCTTAACGAACAATTGACTTCTAGTGCCATTTTTTCCGACTGGGTGTAGTTTTTGAGCATCCTGTAGCCAATGGGTTGTAATTCCTCAATTAGTCTCAAGTCTTCAGTCCTCACTTTCACCAAAATTGAAGGCGAATAAAAGGATTTTAGGTATTCAGCCGCAGTCTGGTGATTAAGTAAACAGTAATTAAAACAATTCATTTCAAATTTGTCCTAAAATAGCTGACATGAAATATATTAGATATACCACTAGGTGGTAGTATTAAATATTATAATACTACTATAATCCAGTAACCATCTAGCATGCATTTCAAAAGACTGAAGGCTAAGCAGTCTCATGTTTAGAGACCGTCTTCAATGTGGAAAAATGGTACTGCAGAGAAATCTCTCCACGTGTAGGTACAATATTTTACAGAATTAGAAGACATAAAGAGCTTCACGATGACAGCTGTATTAAAACCATCAATCCCATCATTTTCCCGTTATTCTCAGCAGTTCGGGATATAAAACGGAGTGGCTACTTTCTGGAACAAGCAGTATTCACAGCACCGCGAGACCGGCCCTCACCCGTCTCTTCCCCCATGTGCTCTGCCCAGCCGTGAAGCTAATTTACTTCCCGCCGTGAACTCCTGGCAGCTACCGCCACACCTGGTCACCGCAGTGCAAAGGGGAAAGAGGAGCACGGCGGCCATTTTGTATCTTTCTGTGGATTATCAAGATAAGATCTTTTTTTTCCAAACAGCACTAGTTTAATGGGTTGAGCAACTCATCAGTCATGCCGAACAAAACACAGTTGTGCAAACCTTTTTTTTTTAAATAGAGAGTTACTCCTATCTGAAACAGCATTCGTTCTATCACTCTGTAGGAGGCAACAGACAGAAGTTGCAGCTGAGAAAGAATAAACTCATAAATCATGTTAAAACGTATTATCATGTAAAAAACAAATGTTAGAAATTTCAATCTCTTTGCGTAATTTGAACCGTGCACAGTTTGTAAACATCTTGTGTAAAATTGATGCATGCTGCTTTGCTACATAGCTACGAATCAGATCAAACCTTTCTGAGGGTTAGGTTGTGGCTCCTTGACAAACCTTTCACGCATTGCTCCTTTTTCGGGTTTCGAAGAATTCAATCCTTGTTTTTGGACAACAGGAGAACCGAGGCCGATGTGAGTAAAAGCCAAACAAAGCTTGCTTCACCCGCGACCGGTCCAGAACCTCAAGGCTTATAGTGGTTCTGCAACAGAACCCAGAACCGGGCACTGTCAACCCACAAATCAAAACACCACTGGAAGCCGATTACTTCTTAATTCTCTTAGCCAGTACTATAAAACATTACTACATCCTTGGATGGGTAACTGTTTCAAACCTGGGGCCGAAACTAAGTATCTTTGTTAAATGCGTAAAAATCTTACATAAAACCAGAAACAGTTGTAAATACTCCCTAAAGCTTCAAAAAAGTCACAACATGACTCAAAATGCTTACTATTGGTCTAACAAATACAATTATAATATCCCTTCACATAGCTGTGCTTGTGTTTTTATTTTTGTTTCACAAAAATGCCCCTTTGTGACATTTGAGCTATGTGGTTCTCTTTGCTGTTGAAGGTATGATGGGATGTGCCCAGACACTTGAATAAATTCAGCCCTTTCGTTTCCCTATTTGATTATCCTAAAGAAGGAAATTGCTTAGACAGGTTCCCAATGAGGATAGCGTCTGCAGCGTACTGTACCTCCTAAAACAACGAAAGTAAATTCCCTTAACTCACAGGGCCCGCGCAGCAGAGCAGGTCAGACAGGAGACATTCTCCACAATGCTCTGGACCCGATGGCACTCAGTTCAAAATTCCATATTCTTGTTACATGCAAACTGGATTTAGGAACACACAGTTTTTTTTATTACAGTCAAGCATTAAGACCTTGTTAAAAACAGTGAAAAAATCCAAATAAAAAATGTTTTGTCTGCGTTCACAGTTGTGAAGCGTGAGTGTGAAAAGGCTTTGAAAGTACAGTACAATGACTAAGGGTACACATTCTGGTGTTTGTTTTGTTTCACAGTTGCCTGAGGAGTTTCTTTTTGCTGCAGTTCACCAGGAGCTGAGCTTGGGTGGGGGTGTTTTTTTAATTGCTTTGCATTTCTTTAAAAGTTAATAGCAAACCCTCGGTGCCACACATTTGAAGAGTCAGATTTCTGCAGAGGAGCCTCTTGCACTCTCAACGAGAGATTTGTAAAACGCAGAGTTGAGAAACCTTGGGAAAGAGTCTCTGTGCATCAGAGTGTAAATCTGAAGCTGGGCCTCATTGTACATGTCGCAGTTTGGCTCCAATAGGTTCCTGTTGATCCCTTCTCGAACTCTGGAATCAAGGCTGACCTAAAAACAAAAGATCAACTTCACTTTAGCCAGAAGTTACAGTATATCACCCTGTAACAGCCCACTGAAGCTCAGCAGGTGTGAGCCTGGTCAGTACCTGGATGGGAGACCTCCTGAGAAATCTAAGGTGTTAGTGGGACCAGTAGGGGGCGCTCACCCTGTGGTCTGTGTGGGTCTTATTGCTCCAGTACAGTGACAGGGACACTCTAATGTAAAAAAAAGGTGCCGTCATTTGGATGAGATTTAAAACCAAGGTCCTGACTCTCTGTGGTCATTAAAAACCCCAGGGTGTTTCTCGAAAAGAGTAGGGGTGTTACTCTGGTGTCCTGGCCAAATTTCCCATTGGACTTTACCAGTCATGGCCTCCCAATAATCCCCATCTCTGAACTGGCTTCATCACTCTGCTCTCCTCCCCACTGAGAGCTGGTGTGTGGTGAGCGTTCTGGCGCACTATGGCTGCCGTCGCGTCATCCAGGTGGGGCTGCACACTGGTGGTGGTGGAGGGGATCCCCATTACCTGTAAAGTGCTCTGAGTGGAGTGTCCAGAAAATGCCCCATATAAGTTTAAGTATTATTACTTTCAAATCTGACCTGCTTGACTTGCTACTACAGTTGACCTCAATGTATCCCACTCTTTAAAGGTGAATTGTACAGAGGCAGATTTCTTGTAGCAATGTCTGTCTCCGGAATCATCAAATTTAAATGGTTGCTTGTGAAAATACAGACAACGTAGGTTAATGAAGGTCACTTGCTTACAACACAAGTCCAATGTACTGCGTGCAGATTCATCAAAACACAATCTGCCTTTACTTTTACCAAAATCAACATCAGCTGGAAAGCACACATCACATGCTGTCTTATTCAGCCTTCTGCTCATTAGGTCATTACTGTAATTCCACTCACTTATTAGAAAAGTCACCATCTATCTGTTAAACATACTGTAGGTTCTGGTCAGTAATCTAAAAGTAGCAGCCCAATCACTTAATTATTACAGAGAGTACTGCACAGTACTTGTCCCTATACTATACAGGTATGTTTGATCTGAAATCTATTTGAGATGCATGACAATGATGGTAAATTCAATGACTTCCTTGCATCCGTAAGAGGTATGTTATGAAAGTCTTCCATCTCCAGTTATTTCACTCATTCCTCTACTGAAGGCTGGTTTGGTACAGATATCTATAACAACCTTTCCTGTGTATAAGCATCAGTGAAGATGGATCAAAAGGTCACCCACTACAGAGTGGGCAACTTTATGGTTGGACACTGAGAAACGAAGTCTTAGGTTACTTCAGATCTTACCTCTTTAGGGGAAAGAATGGAGACATAGTCTTCATAAATTATCCTGGCCTTTTCATCTACTGCTTTCGTGTTCTTTTCGTGTTTCAGGTCTTCACAAGCAAGCCAGAACAACAAGTTCTCTTCACTGTACTCAGAACGCAGAAACTGTCTGAAGAGATTCCTTCCTGATGGGGAATACATCATTCTCTCAAAGCTACGGGACCAAGACAAGATCTCCTCCAGGGTGGGCTCTAATCTGAAAACAGACACGAAAAACAAACATAACTTTCTTACTGTATGTCTTCTGGGAGATTTTTTTATTTTTCTTCTAGCTTTTAATTTCTTTCAATGGGCTTCACACGTCTGAGCATAAAAGCATAATTTTCAAAGCACAGCAGAGAAAGAACAAAGATCTGAAGTTATTTATGTTTAAGCTTTGCTTCCTCTCTCTTTTTTACTGGGCAGGTGTATTAAATCTTCAACTGCTTTCAAAGTTTGAGCCACATTGGACAGCTGTACTACAGTACATACACAACACCGAAACACTATGTTGAATGTGACACATTATATTATTTGCTGCTAGAAACCAACTGAGGTGCAGTAGATGGGCTCATTTCTTACTGTTGAAAATCCACCTTTAAGATCCAGTTAAATATTATGTTGTTTTAAATATCCACAAGCATTCCATATCTGAAGGCCATTCCTGCAATCTAGCACATGCTCTTTATTAATATGTCCAGAGCTGAGAAAATCTGGTGAGACTTTTTGCTACATGCATACAGTCACAGACATCGGCCACACATAATGACTTATAGGCTTTAACCCTTCTTTGATTTTTTTAAAGTAGATATTTTTAAAGGTTTGACTGCTAGTCATTCTAAAATAAAGGCAGTCTTTTAGTTATAGCTGTAATACTGAACTTTCCTTTGGTTGGTATAATTTGCATAGTTAACTGCACCCTCGATCCCATGTGCCGGCTGTCGTTGTTATCAGGTCAGGGAGACGCACTCTGCAGTCTGTTCCAAGGTGTGGCTTTACTATCTGTGTCACAGCAAAAAAGGCACTGCAGCACCACAAGGGGGGAAAGGGCCTATTGTACAGTACATACATAACTAGAGGCTGATAATATTCTGTAGGCATAGGAGAGTAAACTGCTAAGTTACTCTAACAGGGCAGCGAAGACTGATGAGACATTCCAAACACAGCATTGTCACAGGCTGCACCTGCGGACCCTGGGGACACCCAAGTCCTATAAAAGACACGCAGAGTAGAAAGGGAGCTGTCTACTCAGACCCTCACGAGTCTTCTAGACGGTTACACACAACGCCTCAGGGTGAGATCAAGTACAACTGGGCAAGAGTCAGTTTGCCTCCAATGGCATCAGTACATTGCGAGATACAGTAAAAGGATCTGGAAGCTGCACTGATGATATGGCCCACTGGCATTGAGTCAAGGTGTTTGAAATATCTGAGACACCTTATTATGCAAGTAACAGGCTAAACAGCAAGGTAGGCATTTTAATATTGTCTCAATGTAGTCTTTAACATGCTGGAGATAGCACACTGTAGTTCTCACAGCACCTAAAAGCTTCTCTTAAACCTATGGGGCATTCCTAAATTAGATTTGCATGAGTAAAACACTCTAAAAACCTTTGTGTGTGTGAACAGCTGTCTCGTGTGACTTTTTTTTATTTTAGAATAAACAATCCAAACAACCTTATGCTCTAATTGGCTAATACAGCACAGGGAAACTTTGCAATTGCCAAAGAAAAAAAAAATCGCTCATTGACACACTGATTCTAACGCTAAAGGCAAGATGATCTTTTTTCATTAGAAAAAAGAATCTCGGGTTTTTTATTTCAGATATATCACTTGCTTGTGACAGAGTAACACTATCAATTCCAACAACGACAAATCTCAAAGTCATGAAAAGAAACCAGCATAAGCAGGAACCACAATCGTGGGCCCAAATTATCGGGTAGCCTCAACAAACTAGGAAGAGCATAAATCATTCTTTTAAAATCTATTGTAGGCAATAAGCTATGAGTTAAAATGGGAGTTGTTGTTAACGAAAGGGGGCCTTTATGCTCATGTAGCCTGTTTAGTAGTAGCAGGTCCTGTCAGAGTAGGCAAAGCTCTGTAAAGATCAAGCAGGCTTCCTGCACTTCAGTGGAGGATCCTTAAGGGGAATTGGAGTTTGTGATGGGCTCTTTAGCTCGGAGGCAGCTGGATCTGACCACTCAGAGTTCGCCACACACTTCTTGTCACGAAAGCGTTCTTTCCAGACCCTATGCAGACGACACAATCCGGCGATGAGTGAGGAAAACACGGGGGAAAAAGCATGCAGGGGTCGGGAATGAAAACAGGGGGCGTGTCCATAGTGCACAGGTGTTCAGGGGGGTGAGTCCGGGGCAAACAATCCAAAACAGAGTCCAAAGGGAAATCCAAGAGGGAGGCAAAAGGTCCGAATCCAGGCGGTCCATCCGAGACGAGGACAAACAGGATTAAAAACCAGAGCGGGATTCAGTGGAGGGTTGGGGGGAAAAAGGGGGAACGGGACCAGACACTCAGATCCTGGACTCGCTTGGTACAGGAACAAATGCAGAGCTGAACAGAGTGGGCGTCTGGCTTTTAAGGGGGGCTGGAACAGAGGGCAGGTGCACAAAATCAAGTCCGAAGTGAAAGAGCCGGAGCACCCTTAAGGGGGAGGGAATACAATCGTGACACTTCTGTAACTGCACCAGGACCAATGGGTTCATGTCATTGCCAAAGACAGCAAAGTGCCACAAATCCTGCCAGGTCACATTCCAGTCTGACACAGAGAAAGGGAACACAGAGCTTGTCTTTGTGTCTCTTAGGCTGGTGGTCTGGTGACGGTTTGTCAGTGATCAATCTGGTTAATTAGCCCTTGAGAAATAGCGGGACGTGACTGCTGGGTAATTGGAAATTAAAAGCAAGAAATTGAGGATCAGGCTAAACACTGGCCCTTGACTGTCCAGAGTGTTAAAGAAATGTGGGATTTGTTATATGCAGAAATGCACAGTATGCTAAAGTGGAGATCAAACATTAGTTAGCCTGTGCAAAGATGATAGAAAATCAGTTTATATATATATAATCTATTATTTGGAAAACTTGAGCGCAGCATGTTACAGCCCTGCTCCTGGAATCACAAACCCATGGGCCACTTTGAGCAGTAGAATACACAAAGAAACAGGAATACAGCTGTATAACCGGGGACAAATGTAAGCTGCTTAACATAAAATGAATAAATCAATAATAAGGACCATCAGAAACATTTTACTTACTGTTCTTCCGCAGCTTCAATACTTTCCATTTTCGTACAGGTTTGCCTCTCGCGCCCTTCCATCAGGTCTTCATTCCTGACACATCCAAGAACAAAATCCCCCCAAAAACGTTAAGAGCTTCCCTTGGACCTTAAAAGTTGCAGTACCGCCCTTTGTTGTCTTTCACAAAATATTGTATCCGGTATGTTTCAATAACCCATTACAAGACAACAGAGGCAATGAGTTAACTGTCCCCAGTCCTGGTCTTAAAGGGCACTACCTGCAGGATTTCTCAGTCTGTGAATCATCGACAGCTGAATTAAACCTTCATTGTCCCACTCTATCCCTCCTCCACAGGTCTGACATTGAAATTTAATTAACAACCGATGCCCGCGCTCGTGAAATTTGACAAGAACAATCAGACTGCATGGGCTGCAGACAGGAACTGGGCCCCAGCACTGACCACTACAGTGGCCAACACAGCCGGGAAAACTGTTGATTCCTTTGCCTTTCTGATGCTGACCCCAGGGAGACAAGTAACAGCAGCTAGGGGCAAGTACTGCATATCCAGTCGAAAAGTACAAAGACAAGGAAATATTGTAAAGGCATCTATGAAAAACACTTGCCTTCAGGGTCTCTAATGTTAGTTACAATATCGGAAATGCAAAGTTAGGTCCCACAAATGTGCCTCTGTTGATATTACACTGTTTTCAATGCCTGTTTATCAGATCTAGCAACCAAAAAAGTGTTCTAAGTAAGTGGTCATAGCCAATCATGAATCTGCTAGCCACACCTGCTGAAAAGTGCTCTAAATAGTGAGGAAGAATTTTAGCAATTACCTTTTTTAAAGTGTATAAGATAGTGACAAGTTGGCTTTGAAAAATGCTTTTTACCCAGCAACAGTATGAAAGAACAATTGTAAGCAGATTCTTTTTTTTATATTAATGGTACAACAGCAGAATGTCTAGCTCATTTCACACCTTTTATTTATATACTTCCTTTTGTCTGAATGCAAGGTAGAACTGCTTCTTAAGAAGAATGTGGTCAATTACAAAGAAATATTTGTAGAGAGAAAAACAACTCCTAATATGGAAACTTAGAATGAGCTTTCCTATGTGAATTTGCTGTATAAAACTCATTGCATTTATCATCTCGGTGGAGAGGTTCCTCACAGATCTGTATGAGAGGCTGCTCTCAGGTCTCCATGATTATATCCTCCCCAGGCGCATGTATAAAGGGACTCTGCTTGATCACACCTAACCGGAGTGAAGACTTTTCTTCGACAATAGACAACATGTACTAATCACTAAACATTAAGTATGTCTTACCCTCCGCTGGGAGCTAATGCAATGTGCACAGGACAGGAGTTACAGTAGGTGCTGATGCTAAGTAGGTTTATTTAGCACTCGAGGAGCAGAGTTTTGAAGCCTGTTGAGCACTTTAGAAGATTTCCCAGTAAGGGTTACATGACGCACACACCTACTGTAAACCCTGTACAGCTGCGTATCTTTATTTTACACATAAATGAGACTATATGAGACAGGCAGGATGTCAAGACATGGTCACACTGATGATTTCCAAACAGCACAACTTCTCACAGCTATCTCAATTCAACCAAGCTGTAATCTCATATCTCATCGAGCATATTTCAGTTAAGTTTTGACATGTAATTTTACAGCATACATTTCTTCCCAACTCTACATCTTTCCATTTAATAATTCCCCCATCACAATTTTTATGCAAATATTGCTTTTCTTTAAGGATTTCTAAATTTGGTTTTCTTCTTTTAAAAATAATTTTGAACCTGCAATCATTAAAACTTTGCACTCTTCTTAAAATAATAACCATTCAACATCTTTGTGTTCTAGTCAAATAGGTTTTTGAATCTTGTCACAGACCAGAAGGACAATTGCACATTACTGCACCCAAAAAGATTGACTTGTTGCAGTGCAAAATGACCTAGTTACTATACTAAGAAAGGCTCAGTAAACACATTCAATCCCAGTGAAACAAGAGATGGACTCAACGAAGTGTGACAAGATTGTACTGTTACAAATCGGGTTCTGCTTTTACAAATTGCGTTCAGGAGAAGGAAAATACGAAGGCAAATAACATAGCAGACTAGTTTAAATTACTAAATGTCATTTTTGTCAGCTCTAAAGAAATGTATCCACTTCCTAGTCCCCGGGGTGAGAAATCACTCCTTTTGCTCTTCTCTGAACTCTTTCCAAGGCTATCCCTGACGTCCTTTTTGTGCTGTGGTGACCAAATCCAAACACAGTTTATGAGGCCTTTGTGTGAGCAATTTATAAAACTTCAACACACTTCCTTGGATTTAAACACCACATGTTTTATTCAACACCAAGCCATTCTTTTTTACTTTTTTATTGCTTCCCCACATTGTCCTGATGAGGACATAAAAGAATCTCCATAAACGCCTTTATCATCCTGCAACTCACAGCTGGCAGCCCTCTGAAGCTCAGCAGGTGTGAGCCTGGTCAGTACCTGGATGGGAGACTCCTGGGAAAGCTGAGGCTGCTGCTGGAAGTCGTTTAGTGGGCCCAGTAGGGGGGCGCGCACCCTGCGGTCTGTGTGGGTCCCAATGCCCCAGTATAGTGACGGGGACACTACACTAAGAAAGCACCATCCTTCAAATGGGACGTAAAACCGAGGTCCTGACTCTCTGTGGTCATTAAAAATCCCAGGGCATTTCTTGAAAAGAGTAGGGGTGTAACCCTGACATCCTGGCCATATTTCCCCCTGGCCTTTACCAATCACGGCCTCCTAATAATCCCCTGATGATTGTGGTGAGTGTACTGGTGCACTATGGCTGCCGTCATATTACCGAGGTAGGGCTGCACATTGGTGGTAGTGGAGGGGATCCCCGTTACCTGTAGAGCTTTGAGTGGTGTGTCCAGAAAAGTGTAAGAATACTATTATCCCTTTTGTGTGGAACTTCCTGTAGCTCAGAATCACCCTGCAATAAGAGTATCGTACGTTCCTGCTTCCCGTTGAGAGGAAAGTGCTGTAATTCCCTTGCTGATTTTTCTGTGTGCCTCTCCCCCTATTCTACACCACAGATCACCAAATCTATCAGCTGTAGTTTGTGAGCTACTGTAGATCAGACAGTAAATCATTGGTACAGATCAGGAGTTTTATTGTGGTGACTGCTGAAAGCAGCAAAAGGTTGTGTGGATCAAATAAATATTTCTATAAAAATGTGAAGTTGTTTTATCCTTGCTTTCTTAAATGTAGATTACAGTTTAAACACCCCATTTACCTTGAACTTTCCCTTCATCGTGGCTTCTTAACACTGACACTACCTATACTTTGCCGCAATTATACTTCAAAATACATTTTGATCAATTCAGGGGCCGTGGGAGAGGATACTACTGTATATGTGGATTATTTAACCAGTTGGATTGACTTACAGAGCAAACCTACAAACCTTTACCAAACGTTCTTGAAAACAGGGCAGAGAGGGCTGACACTATTTCGCATCAACAAGTTTCCTCTCGACATCTCTCCTTCTTAATGGGAATTTCTTTTCCCAAAAGCATTTTCCCCAATTTACATCATACAGTACGGCTTCCTTTGCTTAATGCAAATGGATCAAAGAGTTTATCAGACCATGTAGACAGCCACATGCAAATGCCAGCAAGGGTTCTCTCGGTGATTTGCATTTGTCTTTAAACATTTTCATAAGGTGACACTGTGAGCAGAATCAGAATGCTGAGGAATAAATAAATGAATGAAAAAAGAATACAAAACACAAAATATTCTCATATTCTAGACACAGACTAAAAGCACAATACTCGCCACCCAGTATTGTGTTATTGGCTCTTATGTTGATTGAATAAGTTATCTTGTAAAACTGTTTATTAGTTAAACTGTTAATTTGTGCTGTTTGATTAATTTTATTAGAAATTCACAGTCTGCTTGTCAGGATAGGCTCCAGCTCCCCTGCTAGGCTGAACTGGAAGAAGTGGTTAAAAAATGGATGGATGTAATACAGGTCTGGATCTTTGTTTTTTGCATTTACCATAGATTTTGTAATCTGTCCATTACCAGACAAATGCTCACTCCTGGTGAAGCACATGAGAGCCAGGCTCTATCACGGAGCATGGAGTACAGAGGACCACACCTGCCCACCACCGGCCACACAGGCACACACACAGGGAGAACTTGAACTTCGAGATAGCAATCAGCCGAGCCAGAGTATCTCTGACAAGTGGAAGGAAACCCATGAGGATGCAGAGAGAAGATGCAGACTCCATACAGAAGCAGCTCTGGTCTGCAAACAAAACCAAGGATTCAAGCAGTGTGGCTGCAGTGCCAACCAATATGACACCATCTTGCCCAATATTTACGATACATTATTGTCAAGTAAACATGGAACATTCTGCATTTTCCAGAAGAACTGAAATGCAATAGGAAGCAAACAGTGTTTTTTACGGTACTAAGAACATTACGAACAAGAGAGGCCACTTGGCCCATTTAGCCTGTATGGTAGTTAGTACCAACCTACAGTAATAACCCATCACAAATCAGTTGTTTTCAAAGAGGGGCAACAGAAAACAATGGTAAGATCGACAAATTAAATACTTTTGTTTCATTCAACAAATGTATTTGTTGCAGGAATATGTTTTACTGAGAGATAAGCTAAGGGCGGCGCAGGTGGACACTCCCCTGGTGTCCTGGATTATAGACTATCTGACCTGCAGGCCACAGTATGTACGGCTACAGAGCTGTGTGTCCGAACAGGTTGTTAGCAGTACTGGGGCTCCACAGGGGACTGTCCTTGCTCCATTCCTGTTCACCTTTTACACCTCTGACTTCAGGTACAACTCTGAGACATGTCATCTGCAGAAGTTTTCGGATGACTCTGCAATTGTGGGGTGTATTAGAGAGGGGAGGGAGGAGGAAGATAGGAGCTCGATTACCAACTTTGTGGAGTGGTGTCTTCTTAACTATCTCCAGCTTAACACCAGCAAGACCAAAGAAAGGATCATGGACTTTCGAAGGAATAAGTCCCCGCTGAACCCTGATTCCATCCAGGGTGAGGACATAGAGGGCGTACATTCCTACAAGTACTTAGGGGTACACCTGGATGATAAGCTGGAGTGGTCTGGTAACACTGACGCCCTGTACAAGAAAGGTCAGGGCCAACTCTATTTTCTTAGGAGACTCAGGTCCTTTGGTGTGTGTGGAACACTGCTACACATTTTTTATGAATCAGTGGTGGCAGCGGCCATCTTCTACGCTGTTGTGTGCTGGGGCAGCAGCATCATGACAAAAGATGCAAATAGGCTCAAGAAACTCATCAAGAAGGCTGGCACTGTGCTGGGGATGAGCCTTGACCCCATGGAGGTGGTGGCTGAGAGGAGAATGTTGACCAAGCTCACAGCCATCATGAACAACACCTCTCATCCGCTTCATGGGACTGTTACTGGGCAGCGGAGCACTTTTAGCAACAGAGTGCTCCAGCTACGGTGTTCAAGGGAACATTTCCGCAGGTCTTTCCTCCCGGCGGCTGTCAGGGTGTATGACGCTGCCCTAGGCTAGGACTGTTAGCCCTTCATTTGCTCGTCTATGGACAGCATGTTTGCTCCATTGTACTTTTTGGACAATCAGTCTGTATAAACCTATGCACATTTTGCACATATTTTATTGTTTTTACAGTGACCATGATCATCACATTTTGCACACACCTATGTATTTATTTATTTATTTTTATTTTTTGTCTTTTGTTTTATAACTATTCTGATGTCTGTTTTTGCTTGTCTTGGGCTGGACTGCTGTAACACATCAATTTCCCTACGGGATTAATAAAGTATTATCTATCTAGCTCAAAAGCAAAACAATTTTGTGAATATTAAACACATTATATTGCCACTGTGCAAACGTCTCTGGAATCAAAAAGTGTAGATAAAGAGTCCGAGGACACTGGCGCTGTAGGATTCTGACCTCCAAAAGCCAGATGCTGAACATGACATTTTCATCTGTCTCCAAATGGACGATGAATTACTTTGTCCCACATCCTGGTGAAGGTGCCAATCAGCTCCCCAGAGGCACAACCAAGAAACGGTTGTTTCTGCCAGGGCCAGAGACAGTCCTGCATGTCAGACCACTTCCTGAAAAGCTAAAGCCTCTTTGTGTCTCCTTGGGAAAGATGTGTCACGTGGGCTGAGTGCACCAACATCAGTTTTCACTTCCAAGGCATCTGAGCAAATGTGAAAGTGTAAGGCAGCTCTTGGACACCGAAAATGTGTCTTCCTGTCCCTAGACAGGAGTTTCCACCTGCAGGCCATAGTAAGAGTAAGAGATGCTCAATTCTCACAGAGTCTGAAGAAACTTCTTGTGGACCACAAGACTGCAGGGTCAAAAAGTCCAACTGATTCTGGAGGGCACGACCAAAATAACACCTTTTCCTCTGACTCTTTATCGACACTTTTTGATTCTAGAGACGTTTGCACAGTGGCAATAAAATGTGTTTCAAATTCACAAAATTGTTTTGCTTTTGAGCTCCCAGCCCAAAGCATATTATCCTGAGAAGGACAGATTCGTTTCTGGCATGCATCCCCAGCTGGTAGTGTGCACAACCCACAAGTCAGACAACGCTCACACACATGCAGAGGCTCAGAGTACAGAACCTACAGGACACCCAAGACAGCAGCATCCAGGATCAGAGCGCCACCACATGTCTTGAGCTGTTGCATACTAGTCCTGCAGGTGCTCCTGCTAGATGTGCCCGAGGATGAAAGGGTCATGGCACCCACCAGAGATACTCACAGTTTCTGCAAGGATCTGTGCCACAAAGTCGTAAGGCTTCTGGACGCCCCTTGGTCTTTGGGCAAGTCAGAATCTTGTCCATATCTGATGCAATGACCTTGCCTAGCAATAAGACAGGCCTGGCCATGCTAGTGTTCATGCTCTCAGAACAGCCAGGCAGACCTGGTGCTGACGCAGTAAAGAAGGGACCTATCAGGATAGCGTGATGTTAGTGGATCCAAGGGGTCTCAGTCTCTGGGTACACTTACTCTTTGGTGTTCATTCTACCTTGTCCAAAAGCTCCAAACTACCCGAATGGATTAAAGTGTGCAAGGTAATCACAAGGATACCCCCCCAGTCAGAATAATAACATGCACTTAAAAAAACACAACTTGTTTAAAACAGTGATTCAAATAACATGATGTTAAAATAAAGATGACATTTTTCTTTGCTTTTGCTTGTTTAGCAAATTACTCAATATGAATAATCAGGGATCTGTAAGTCGTGCTGGCTAGCTGTGATGTTTGTGTTGCTGCTGGTTTTCACATTATCTGTTTCTGCTTCTACACCATATGGCATAAACTGTCCTCAGTCCAAGAACCCCAGTTCAGTCTGACTAAGGCCTGCAGAAAAGTGAATGGGATGACATACCAGGGGCATCTGCAGCAACCACACCAGCACAGACAGCAGGTGCGAGGTCTCTGCTGGTCAGGTGCCTGAGGAGGGCCTTCGCTGTGCGGATGCTGCCTTTTCCTCATTTCAACTCCTGTGGGGCTTCTAACCTGTAAAAACAGAAAGTAGAAAAGAACAGACACGTTAAAGGATGCACAGCCATCCATCATTCAGTGTAGCCTCATTCTACAGACAGTCCCATCCTTCTGGAGCCTAACCCACAGGATGCAAAGTCTCAGCCCCACCCACCTGAACACAGAGAGAAGACGCAGGCTCCACACAGAATGGTCACCAAATCCAGGACATGAGAGCTATGAGCAAGCAGCACATCAATGTACAGCCCTAAAAAATAAACACCTACACTTCTATTCCGATTCAGAATTTGTTTGCAGTGTGAGGGAATCTTTTGAAGAACCAGCAGGGACTGTTGTACATTGTTTGGAGAAATGACAGAAATGTATACTCCTTTTCATTAATTCAATTTATTTTTATATAGCGCCTTTCACAACAAGGTTGCCCCAAGGTACTTAATTGATTATACATTTTGTCAATACAGAACAGAAGACCAGAAGACAACGGGGGAGAGATCACAGATAAAAATTTGAGAATGAATTATAATAGCCCCTGAACAATGGATACCAATGACTATATTAGCATAATTCTTCACTTTAGAGTTCTACTGACAATAGTCCACTTTTAATTTAATGTTCACATTAGTAGGCCTAACCTCCTTTAATACCCTTAGTATTGTTTGGAACAAGTAAGAATGTAGGTTATGTTTCTTGTTTCCTGGTGCTTATTATGCATATACAGTATAAACGTGTAACAGCTGCTGCTTATGTGTAAGCCTCCACACAGTTCCTGCATATTGAAAGAGTATAATAAAGCTCTTTGAGAAAATCACAGATCGCATACAGTACATTTGCTGGACAAAACAAGAAAGAGTATAATTTTGTGCAATAAGAAAAAAGCAGTCATCTATCTGGACTGAAGCGAAGTTTATTGTTAGCTACAACCCTGTGAGAATCCCACGTAAAGGACTAAAAAAATGAAAAAAATGTTTTCAGATCTATGAAGACTAAGAGGCAGTAGAAGATAATTCAGACGAAATAACTACCACCGCAGAAGTGCTCGCCCTTAAGTAGAGAGCAGCCTGCACATGTCACAATTAACAAAATTCTCCCCTTCTGAATAAGCAGTTCGGGTTTCACGTTCATCTTCATGGTAAGAATGAGCTGTAAGGATGTGTGAAGCTCTATATTAAAAATATTATGTCTTTTAACCCATAAACACAATGTCATACTGTATTTCTATAGCGGTACGTGGTTTATAAACATTCGTATTTAATCATTTATATGAATATTACACGCCTGGAGAACTACAGGTTGAGTAGTATCAGTGACGAGAGACAGTGATCTGGAACTAAGTGTTCTATACAAATCACATCTGCTCTGGTCTCCCACAACAGATCACACAGCCCAGCGCAGGAATATCCATCAGGGAATGTCTTCATCTGTAGGATAAATCATGCTGGAATTGCTACTGTTTTCAAAACCGCCGGCTGAATTTGCAATATGAAGCTCACCTTACCTCTCCAAACCTCCACACACATCCTCCTGAATTAACCACTAACCTTCTTCTTCTTTTCACACAGCACAGACTTCATGCAGCCTACTGTATCTGAGTGTCCAGAATGTCTTTACAGCAAAGTCGTTGCTTTTGAGGAACTGATTAGTAAACTGTCTGACGTTTACGTCTTTTCAGTCATCTGTTTCCTTTGCATATATAAGATAAAGACACAATAAAATCAAAAGAGAAGAGAATTCTCTTTCAGGAATGGCATGGACAGGCTCTCTTTCAACAGCACAGATGTTCCCAAACCAGACACGGTTCTGTTAGCCTCATTCTACACAAGTATCTTATCCATCTGTAATGGTTGGTTAGCCATTTTTATGGAACTGACAGTAAATGCTCTGCATCTTAATACGACATCAAACAGGAAGTGAGAAAAAATAAAATACACTTTCATAAACTTTGCACAAATTCCTTACTAACTTACTTAACTTACTTGTTACTTAACTTATAACAACTTTAAAACCAGCCTAATTGTGTCTGTGGACTTAAATCTATTAACTGGTAGTGCTTGCTTTAGATCTCAAATGCACATATTAACATTAACAATAAAAAAGCACAATACAAGGGCGACAGTAGGTTGTTTTTCTGGCAGAGATGTGTACAGAGTTGCTGTTAACTCACAAGAAATAAAAGCACGCGATACAGAGAACTTCTGGTCTTCCTCATTTGCTTTTGAAGGAAAAATATTTTCAAAACATTCAAATAAAATAGAACAGATTAATACAAATACCATTGCAACAGCACGATGCATAAATGTTATTAGGCCCGTGAATGAAAGTCTTATTGCTTCCTTAAGTTTCTGGTTTGGTTTCTTGTTTCTCTTTCTGCTGTATGAACTAGAGACACATACTGTACAGTACTATCATTAGATACTTTCAATGTTCAACAGCCATTGAAGTGCTAGAACACTGCATTATGCACTGGCCTATCTGTGTATTAGTACTTAGATTAATCCTTTATATAATTAACACAGCTGAATGACACTCATGGTATTTTTTACAGACACTCACTGAGAACCATAACAGCAACACTACAGGTCAGTTTGGTCAGTGTACAAAGACTGTACACTTTTGAATTGCTAGAGTCTTGACATGTGCAAACATCATACATTGACACCAGGTCTCTAAATACCACTTGCTTGTGCCAATTATTAATTTCAGACTTCAGAAATCTTAGAATTAATGTTTGCAGAATGCTAAATATTGTATATGTATTTGCTTACTGTAGCAGAGAAGAATATTCGTGGAGTCAGACTGCAACGATGCAAAGTGTACTTGATGAAGTATGAATATACGGTTCTTTTATTTTAATGAGAAAGCAAGCACTTAAGTTACATTTAAATGCTTAAAATACAACACATTTCAAGTAACCTACCTACAAATGTGATATTCTTTTTAGAGCGTTTGTATTTGGTTAGAAATAAAGACAATGAAGAGATATGTTTTCAGAACTTGGCTTTCTTCCCACTGCAGTGCAGCTTACAGTCTCAACAAGAAAACAAGCTGGAGGACACTGAGGTGGTGATTTTGCCCAAGATAAACATTCTGAAATACCGAATAACCATTTCCACAGAGTCTCGCACTAAATGCCTTGTCCAAGAAGTGTCTCTCCAAAAACAACAAACACATTGTGATTCCCTGGTCAAGTGATGATTTCAAAGGCCATGTTTCGTTTTAGAACCAGTATCAAATAAATAATAAACACAGCTCCTTACCTGCATGGACATCATTTCATTTCTGAAATGATCAATTTATTGTCATTAAATTGATTTCAACACTTCATGCCTGACTTGACACTCACAGCTAGTGTAGTTTTCCAGTATACTGCTAAAACTGTCCTCTGAAACACCACACAAACCAGCCTGCGAATTATGCAAAACTTCAAATGGATGAGATCCATAAGGACACTTAAGTAGCAACAGTTTCTAGTACCCAGCGAATGGAAAACATGCACATTGATGCAAAACACAAAGACAAAAGCCTTTGTTCTTGCTAGGAACAGTACATAAAATAGCAAAGAAATGCAAATGGCTTCTGTAGATTTCTGGAAACAGCATGTCATCATCCCAAATAAATTAATAAAAGCAGATTCACCTCACCCTTTTGTACAGTATAAGCAATGTTGTTTATCATATCATGTGCACATATCTCTTCCTACTGCAAGCATAATGCCCTGAATATTTCTCAGAGCTAGCTCCATTATGCAGTATATCAGCTCCATTCCATTCTATTTGCACTTACTTTTTTTCCACACAGATTATATACAGTAGGTTTGCATGCATCCAAAGCAATTGTAATAATTTGCAATTTGCCAAACTTTACAATTGTAAAACCACACCTCTTCTACACTTATTCTAAACTGAGCCTCTAACACCTATTAATCAACTTCTATCTTAAGTGCTTCAGAGATTTGTTATCAATCCAGCTGTCATGTCTGCAAATAAAAATCTTGAGGTACTTGAAACTGGCTATTACTGCAAGAAAAAAGCTCCATCACACACAGACGTCCCCCAGTCTGTCTCTGTGTATACAATTAAGAAGGTAAACTGTACCATCTGAATGGGGAGGTATGCAAAACAAAAGCACGTTGTTAGGTTTCTGATGAAAAACAAATGATAGCTATTATATACAGAACATGTATATGAACGTACATAGACCTTGCATATGTTAATTGATGCCGCCTTAGACTGAGAACATTCTGTGCACATGAAGCAGGTGCAAATGAGAGGATTTTGTCCCAGACAGCAGGTAAATCCCTCAAATATGATATTTGCAGATGATGTAATTCTTAAAATTGTAAATAAGGTGATTCCAATGAAGATAGTGCACCTCCATCCACCTACACAGTAGGTGAAGGTTATAAATCGCTGTCACTGTCTGTCTGTAAACACAATAAACATTAAGAAGATAAAGATTCACCTAAAGAAGGCTTCACAGCCGAAATGTTGTGTTTTCTCTCTTCTCTTTTCAGCATGGAATAAACGTATTACTTGTTCCTTTGCAGACTACACATGCTGACGCAGCTCCCCACCTGAACTACAATAAACATTATCCACTTCTATAATATAGAAGGAGAATTTATAATGCACAATTTCTCTTCTAGGACAAAAAATGTCAGTGGACTCCTATGGGCCAAGAACTTAATCTTTTTAGCGTGCTGTGACCTTGTCCTCTTGTCCGAAACCACTTCAGTACTAGAGCACTAACATCTTGCACATACAGTCATCCTTCCCTTGCTCCTCCTGCCTCTTCCCCTTCCCTCCCTGACTACAAGATTGCTCCCTATCTTTTGTGCAGGGACAATGCTAATCTTCTCCCTGTCATTGCAATGTTAGAATATGTGCTGCCAAGACGAGCACAAAGTACCAGTGGTCTAAACCAAATGCTAAGAGAGTAGCAATTAAAGAGGAAGTTTGCAAAACTTGACAAAAACAATCGGACAAAAACAACGACCATCCAGCTAGACCGTGTCGACA